TTGCACGTATCCCCCAGGATTCCAGGTTGGAATTTGCCCTGCATCGAGTTGGAATCCGCGGCGGATTCCAGCTCGATCCGGCCGAAATTTTCCAAATTGGAATTTTTTGGGATTCCCGCGGCTCCATAACTTTTAGGATACTATTTTGGAATCNGTATCCCCCAGGATTCCAGGTTGGAATTTGCCCTGCATCGAGTTGGAATCCGCGGCGGATTCCAGCTCGATCCGGCCGAAATTTTCCAAATTGGAATTTTTTGGGATTCCCGCGGCTCCATAACTTTTAGGATACTATTTTGGAATCCGGGGGGTTTCATGGGAAACTTTCCCCCAGGTGGGTAGGCATTTTTTCACGGAGCCCCCCAAAATTCCAATTTGGAATTCCCCATAACATTTGGCCTAAAGGAGAAAACGATAGCGAGACAGAGAAGAGATATTAGGAGAAACAAATTATATTTGGGGCCTGACGTCAATTGACGACAGCGGTTCGGCTACTTTCACGATGAACAATCCTTGTGTCTCACACCTACAGCTGGTACCCTCGAAGTGGCACCTGGGGTTCAAGCTCTATGCGTTGAGATATCTACCAACACCAAAGTGCCATGTCGAGGCGTGTAGTGTGGCCCTATTGTTTGGTGATGGTTCGCAAGGCGTTCTGATTTTTGGCAAAACGTGTCCCCGGGCATCATAAAAATAAAAATCTCGGCATAACGACACTGCCCGCGCAGAACGCCCAGTCATCAACACCTCTCCGTGTTTGCACTCCCATCGATCCCCCACGCCCGAGTACAGAGAGCGGAAAGCGCCGGCAAGCCCTGATTCTGACAACCTAACGCGCTTGAAGAAACGTTTGGGGGTTGAATTGCTGTACAACAGTTCTGGAAGAGCCACTTCAGCTAATTTTTCGTGAGCTTTATTTCTGCTGGCTGAGAGATGAAGCAGCACGTGGTAGTTGCATGCCTTTGCCTGCTAGTATCTGTGGATGGAAGCGCGCCTCTGCTAGCTCGTCCGGCCCCGGTTCAACGCGGTGAGTGGATACTCCGCGTTCATGATTTCGCGCGAGCGCGTACACCGTCAGTCTCAAACATTTTTTTATGTTGAAAAATGTACCGTAGTTGCGTTTTATCTTCAACAAGCTCGGCGCTCGTGACCCTGCGAATAAGTCCGCTGACCGTGGGGCGCCGCCGCCCGCACCGCAGCACAGCAGCGCAATCGGTAGTCCTTGTCCTCTGATGCACAACAGCGGGCCGGTGATGCTGATGTGTCGTGCCTATTCGTGTGGATTGTTGGGCGACTGAAAACATATCACACCATGGGTACACGGGAAATGGAACGATTACTTGCCGGTGCTGTTTTGCCCTGCCTCATGTGTTGAACGTGCCATCGATAGACTTTTTTTCCAGAACAGACCCCAACGCCAGTCAGCACCATCAGCAAACGGCACAGCTTGTGAGAATAGCAAGAAGCCGTTCGTTTCGTAAATGCCGTGGCTGTACCCCATTACCAGTGCGCCTCCTCTCGTCGCCGGTGGTCGCTTACTCCTGCAGGGTACGATCGCACGCAAAAAGCGTGTTGCAACTAACAAATCCCTACCTCAGTCCCTCTTTGACTTTTATTAGGGTTGTTGTTGGTGTTTTGTGGTGCTGGCTTCTGCGTCTGCGTCGGTCGTCTGTTTCCAATCCGCCCCCCACTATCGCGTGGTCTTCGCTGTCTCCTCCCAGCTGGTTTCATCGTTAACGAGGGGGGCTCCAAGATCGTCAACGGCGACAGCAGCAGCAGCAGTGGCAGCAACGTTGTTGCCGAGGAGGCTGCAGCAATACCCGAGCGGCCGAGCTTCGTGTCGGTGGGCATTCGCAGCGGCTGCGCGAGGGAAAAAGCGGCCACGACGGCGACCCTGCGGAACAAAGACCGTGCCGGGACCTCGGCGGCGAGCCGGCTGCGAGGAGGGTGAGACAGAGCGGCGAATAAAGCCTTCATGTTTTTTGCCTTCCGCCGTCTTATGCATTCGTTGCGCAAACAAAGAATAGCCTGGTTTTTCAATAGAGAAGGCTTTGTGATGCACACTGCCGCGGCCGTGAAGATAGTTTCTCAAAGAGCCAGTTGCCTCCAGATATCGAGATGAAGCACGGGCCACAACGTAACAAATTTAAGAATTATGCAGAGGCTCGTTGGCTCTCCGCCCCTTCAATCCTCCGCGCGCGGGGTGCAGCAGCGTGTATTCTTCTTGGATGCATTGTGGTGCCAGGGGTTGTGCCCCTGTGTGTGCCTTTCAAAGTTTGTCGCGAAAAAGAAAGGTCCAGGAAATCACTGATAGACGTCAGCGATAAAAGAACCCAGATATGCATAGTTGTAGATACATGAAGAGTGGTATGTTGCAACTTCTGTCGCGGTACAAGGCTTCTTGAATAACAGTGTTCTGCCGTGGATTAGCATGCCCGGTACACACAGCCATAGCTGAGCGTACCGAACGCATATATGGAGACGTCTTTCTATGGCCGGTAATAAATAGTAATGTTGTCGACGATTATGCCGCGACACCGCTTCGCGCTCCTTAGCACGGCATGAGTCCACGAGTGCACTCACTCACTCTGGATGAACGTCTGTCGTTAACAGTCAAATGGTGTCCGCGGTCCGTTGAGAACTCTTGCCGCCCACCCTACCTACATGTAGGACTAGATGCGTGCGGGGGGAAGCTGTGTCCGAGTGGAAACAAGTCAAGGGTTTCGTGACTCTTTTCCAGTTAACTTGATCGCTCCCAGCCCCCTCCGTAGTCTGTCTGCACTCACCCAAATATCACCCCCTACTTCGGGGGTAGATATTGTACCCAGTTGTACCCAAGTATGCTTAGGAGACGAAGGCATTCAGTACCGACGTAACCGCTGAGCATGTTTTGTCCTCTCATGCACACATGCGGCTTCTTTTAGCGCAGAACCCGACGCGGACGTTCCAACAACAGGCGACAAACGAACATTTTTTTTAAATATTAATAATACACGCGCAGGTCGACCTGGATTCCCAATCCGCCAGTGATGGTGAGGGAATCGGACACAACGCCCAAGACGCACAACAGCGCCGCCGAACCTGTCAGCTCACACGCGCCGACAGGAGCCAGCAGCAGCAGCTGCAACAGTAGGCATGGCGCCGAGTTCGCCGTGTCGAAGCAACGCATCGTGGACGACAGCGATACCGACTCTTCCTTCGTCGAGGACGAGGACGAAGGCGGCGTCGCTGGTAGCGGCGGGGGCGGTGGGGGTGGGAGGGTTGGCGCGCTGCCGTCGTTCCCTCGGACTCTTCCCGCCACTCACGGCAAGGCGCCGTTCAACAAGAAGTTCGCCTGGGTGCCCTGAAGCGGCGACCGTGTGTCATGGTCAAGGAATCGTGTGTGTGGGCCCTTCGCTGATGTGTTTCGTGGTCGTTTTGCCACATTTTGTCCTTTTGCCTTAAGCAGGAGTATCATATGACACCCGATACCCGGGGGGTATGTGAGGATCACTTGCTTGTCTTCCGGAGTTTGTTTTGGTTGTTCGAGAATGGAAGGGAGAGATGAGCGGGGGTCGATGATCGAATGAGAGCGTGTGCGCTACTGCTGCTGCTGCCTCCCCCCGTTCGCCCTCCATGTGTTGTTTTCGACACGTGGTACTGGTGGCGCGCACATCGATCACTGTGTTCTTTCCTGTACCGTAGCGCTGTGGACTACCGCTGCTGTTGAACGCTCCTCGTGTAAGGGTCTTGATTATCAAGTCTCACGCGCACACGAAGGTGTTGCTGGTCGTCGCGATTGATTTAAGGATTTATTCTGGTATGCAGAGCCAGTGTTTGTCTAATTAGTGTCAAGGCCGTTTACGCACACGTACGTACATTTGCGGCGACGTGCATGTGCTCTCTGGAAGGACTTATGGAAGAGTTGGGAGAAAATGGCATGTTGCTACTAAAGTAGTGCCTTATCGCAGCTGGCTCTAGCATCCCGGCAAAGCTTTGATACCCAACCATAAGGGAGTGGTTCGCTCGACGTATTTTCGGAGAAGTAGCGAAGGAAAAATGGCCTGACTGATGGGAGGTGGGGGGAGAGAAGCAGGTTCACGCTAGCTACACCAGGTGTAGGAGAGAGCGTTGAGATGTGAGGCGATGGGCCGTTTCGTCCATGATAGTTGCCTGTGCTTGTCTCACGGGGGATAGGGGGTA